CCTTGGGCAGTCTCAGTTTGGTTGCAACTCAGCATTCTTTCTCCTCCAAACACGTCTAGTTGAGTTTTTACGGAAAAATGTTCTATTTTGGTTTCATCTGACCATATGACATCCCAATCCTCTTCTGGATCATCTAAATGCTCTCTAGCAAACTTCAGACGGGCCTGGACATGTACTGGCTTAAGCAGGGGGACACGTCTGGCACTGCAGGATTTGAGTCCCTGGCGGCGTAGTGTGTTACTGATGGTAGCCTTTGTTACTTTGGTCCCAGCTCTCTGCAGGTCATTGACTAGGTCCCCCCGTGTGGTTCTGGGATTTTTGCTCACCGTTCTTGTGGTCATTTTGACCCCACGGGGTGAGATCTTGCGTGGAGACCCAGATCGAGGGAGATTATCAGTGGTCTTGTATGTCTTCCATTTTCTAATAATTGCTCCCACAGTAGATTTCTTCACACCAAGCTGCTTACCTATTGCAGATTCAGTCTTCCCAGCCTGGTGCAGGTCTACAATTTTGTTTCTGGTGTCCTTTGACAGCTCTTTGGTCTTGGCCATAGTGGAGTTTGGAGTGTGACTGTTTGAGGTTGTGGACAGGTGTCTTTTATACTGATAACGAGTTCAAACAGGTGCCATTAATACAGTTAACAAGTGGAGGACAGAGGAGGCTCTTAAAGAAGAAGTTACAGGTCTGTGAGAGCCAGAAATCTTGTTTGTTTGTAGGTGACCAAATACTTATTTTCCACCACAATTTGCAAATAAATTCTTTAAAAATCAGACAATGTGATTTTCTGGATTTTTTTTTCCTCATTCTGTCTCTCATAGTTGAGGTATACCTAGGATGAAAATTACAGGCCTCTCATCTTTTTAAGTGGGAGAACTTGCACAATTGGTGGTTGACTAAATACTTTTTTGCCCCACTGTATATCCATATGAATGCAGTTGTAGGGAATCAAAGGGATTACAAGCTCAGCAATTCCCCATAATACTTACATTTAAATTTGGATTACATGTTTGTCTATTAATAGTCTCTTGTAGTCCAATTATAGTAATCTATTTCTGTTGCAGTAAAATACTTTTGGAGTGTTCTTAAACTCCCTGACACTTCCTGATGATGAACCCTTTTTCTATCTGCCTCCATGCATGTTGATTGGTATTTCCATTCCCTAAATGTTTATAATCTGACTCTTTGAGATAGTGAGTTAGTATATGCAAATGAAAATGATGCAAAAGGCATAGAGTTCATCAGAAATATCAGCCTTTGTTATATCTCCCCGAAAGCCGGCGGTTAGACGACACACAGTGAGCGTTTTGATGCATTTGTTTTGGATTGCATATTCTTTTTATTCATCTTCTCCACAGTAATAATGCATAACATTATACAATTCTAGAATGTGTAACGTGTCTCTGTTTTTTGACAGTTTGTCCCTTCCTGTGTGTATATTTCTGTTTGCTCACACACTCCTGCCTCTGAAATGCATTCCATTTTAGGCCCAGGCTTACCGCTGATCTCTTCCCAATGCAGTAAACCTTCAGTTTAGATGTCAACCTCCTAAAAAATACCTACATTCATTACCCTGACAAAGCCAACATGACTGAATCATACCTCAAAGAAATGCTACCACCTACAGACCCAATGGCAAGCAGATGAATAATAACCCTCTCAACCTACACATCTTACTACCATTTCAAATCTGTGTTTTTGTCACTGTGAACACATCTACAACAGTAGGACACAGATCTCTCTAACCAAGATTACACATTATTACGTGGTGACTATATACTTCATAAAGACCTAAAGAGGCCACTGCTGTTCTCCAACTGTTATTTTTAATCTTTTGTTTAAAGTGAATTGGGATTTTTTACTTAAAAACCACCACCACCATTCTTTCAAAAGCAACCGTTTCAAAATCAATTTCAGTCATAGACCTATCATCTTTTGTATTTTTTTAGAAATCCAATCAGTGCATTTTGGAGCGAGGGCAGTAGGAGCCCCTCACACGCAGATGGTGAGGGGTCGACTTGGCACAGCTGGTTCCCATTGGCGTTCTCAATCTGAAACTAGAACAAGGCAATTTAGTTTTCTCTTCATCCTTTTCTTCAGATCCCCAAAGTCAGCTTGCAGAGTCAAGTAGAACAACGGTCTCTAGCTTTATTTTTCAAATGTGTCTTTTGTTCCACAACCTATGAGCTCGTTTGTGAATAGTACATTTTGGAGACTGGATAATTATGTCGGGGAATTAGATGGAAGGCACATCTCTGCTGAAAGGTGGAAAAGATGTCCTGGCGATTCAAACGCAACAGTATGTTTAGTTGAAATTGTATTTTAAATTCATTTCTAGCAAATGTAATGTACAAGCACAGTTAGATATGACACATACACTATTGCTTCAATGTAGATGTTCAAATAACAGTAGAAAAAGCCTCATTTGGAGCCTTCAAATCTGGTATTTGCCTCACTATCATGCTGTAGAAATTGGTTACATTCCTGGCTTAGAGTTGCTGTAGTCTCTCCCTCAGTAATGATGCCAAGCTTGGTACTGTCACCGAAGATCTGGCAGGCTTTGGCATCTGTCACCTCTTTTGTTTACCAAGAGCCAGAGAATACACCTGATCATTGAATCCAGAGTGATCCATGTGGGAGTTCTTGGCAGATACTGCACTTTCTCTTCCTTGGCTTCCTTTTCCATTCTGCATTAGGGTTTGTCACTAATGTGTAGTTGAGTTAAAAGGGGATTCTCAGTTCCTCCAACACCACATGCCGAAACAGCCAAGAGAAACTGATATATTATACCTTCCTGTCTAGGTGCAAATAAAGCATGAGCTTTATGCTGATGGTGTGAAAAACACTAGGAGTTGAAATTGCCAAACACATTTTCTTTACAGTTCAATAGAAATCAGGCTTCCCTTTCTCTGTTTTCTCAATTGCTGCGTCTCACTTCCCCCTTCTCAGTCTCCTTGCTGCCAAAATAAAGGTTACAAGCTGTGAAGCCAGTCTCACTCCCCAGAAGCAATGTGGTCTGGTCTCCTGTCTAAAAAGCATTCATCTCTGTGAGACTTGACAGCTCCATTACTGATAGGTGCATTGCCCGGAGCCTTCCTTTTCAGTGACATGTACGCAAGCACTGACTAACCGACAATACTCCCAATCATCTAAGTTAGGCATGCCTAATTTATTTATCCGTGCTTCCCCGACAGCTATTTTTTGCTGCATTGTTTGGATCTGCAAAATGAAACCCCATTTAGATTAGAATAAAGTATCAACACATTTGTCAATTGCAATGTGAAAAATTAACTTCTTCTCCACTGATTTGAAGGCAGCAACTGAGGCATGCAACTCTAAAAGCAAAACAATTATAAAATGGATTGATTCTCATTATCGTCTCCAGTGGTCCGTCGATGGGGATTTCTATATATTTGTAGATCACTACAAGACCCTATACCAGGCCAAGAAAGATATATGATACCTTTGATATAATTCTTCTAATCCAACTTTCGTCAATAATTTAAATGAAGGTGGGTAGGAAATGCAGTTTAAAAAAAACCCTGATACATTATCAATCCATTGTTTTAAATTCAACACTTTAAAATGTTTTAACACTACCTTTTCTGAGCATCGGAATGACAGATCACTGTTTTGCATTATTTTTTGAAAATACAATGGATGGACAAACTGAACAATTGCTAATGCATCTTTTTGATTGATGTGTTCAATGTTTCATCTGAATCTCACCACACACTGCCATACGGAAGGGCGGCATCTTCTTGATCATTTTGATTAAAGTAAACAAACATTGGCTCTGAGGCAACTCATGGTCGGGAGTATCTATGTTTATCTCCATCCACCCACTTCAGCTTGACAGAAGTGTCCAACAGTCCGACACTACATGCCATCTTTCAGCTTCTCAGGGAGTAGGCAGGGAAGACACACACACATACAGATTGCTTTGCAGCACTGCCTCTCTCCACGTCCAGATGTTGTGTCAGCATGTGGTTGTCTTGTTGAAACCAAGTGTAGTCCTTTTGCAGAGGGACTGGCCACATCAGCGGAGCTTCATCACACTCAGGATAACTATAAAAGCAAATGGGTTCCTGCACCTGTCTGTGTGTACCACAAAACAATTTCCAAGCGTCATGAGAATGGGCTTTTAAATGTGCTTTCACATCTGCTGCAGGTTGTTGCTTTATTTGCTCCACAATTGAGTAATTATTTTAATTGTTGCGGCTTTCAGCTGCCTTGCTTGGGTTATAACCTCAATTGTTGTTGCCTGTTCACAACTGCTTGTCCTTTCGACTAATGTTAAATAAGCCCGGGGCATTTTATAAAACCCATGACAAAGCTGTTGTAATCATTTAAAGGAAATAACCATAATGCAAATAGGATGTCAGCATTTTATCGTCTCAAGCTGAAAGCGTGGATAAGTGCTTTTATAACTTGTTTTGCTCAAATATAAAAACATATATGAGAAAATCCCATGATACACATAAAATGATTATAAACATTTGCACTGTCGAAGCCATAAGCTAAAACATTACTTGTTTTAATCCCCAGAAGATGACAAAAGTCTTCAAAACCATCACTGCCAGGATACGTTTCAGATTTTGAAACATCTTCCTTACATTTTCAAAACCTCTAGGTTGACTTTAGGTTTGATTTAACCTTGGTAAACATCAAAATAACTTAAAATACATTTGATTTTCTCTTTCAAAGTATGAACATCACTTTGTCAAACCTCTTTAGAGTTTTCGATCAGTGTCAAATGTCACATGTTATATTTAATCGGGTGGAGTTTAGGGAGGGATGAAGCTGTTTCCCTCGCAGCAGATGAAACGGTGAAATGTTCTAGGGCTGTGATCTGAGTGACACAGGGTTGGATGTGCTGCCTCAATCCACACCCACTGTAGTGACAGGGAACACACAGGGGTGTCACAGTGACATACCATCCTTCTGATCCTGGATGGGGAAGTTATGTAACGTATGCCTTGTGACTGTCATCATTCTTATGCACTGCTCTTCTCTGTTTCCTCTCTCCAGGCACCAGTAATGGGTCTGTGCTGGTCTACAACCTGACCAGTGGCCTCCTCCACAAAGAACTCAGTGTCCACTCTTGTGAAGTCAGGTAAGATTTGTGTTGCTGTGAAGTCACAACAAGGCAGGGGTTAGTGGTTCAGTCCCCTCTGGATTACATGAAATATCTGTAAAACGACAAGATGGGTGAACCCCAGTGGCTAGTCAATCTGCTCGGGGTGGATGGATTTTGTGTTGATTGTTTTCTGGCTCATTAGTGCTTGTAGAGGCAATTGGCAATCACATAATTAGAGTGCCTTGTCAGCTCTTGTGTTTTTCTTAGCTTGCTTTAGGTTTGTATGTGAACACCGGCTGAGTATGGTCATCTTGTCTCAAGGAAATAAATAGGACAACCACTAGAGCAAAATAAAATAACCCAGAATATATCAAGGTTAAAGATATTGTGTAGCTGAACAGGTTTTCACTTGATATGCATACTGTATAATGCACTTTACAAAGCAAATCAAGGTAAAACGTATCAAATCAAAGCAAAATCATGCCAAGATGCTGGTCCTACCGTGTTTATATGCTAATTAAATCATGGGGACCATAAATACAAATGCCACCTGGTGACATAAAATGTGTTCTATACCCAGATCATTTATTTTCAAGTACAACAACTACACACTCTCAATGAGCGGAAAATAATCAATGAAAAAAAAAAAAGTTTATTCCAACACGTGTGTGTGTAAAGCAAATAAAATATAATTTTCCATGCCTCTGAGCACTACATCATTCCCTATAGTCCTGGTAGCTAATTAATGAACCAGTCAATGTTACTTGAAAGGTGCCTTCAGGGAGAAGCAAATTTCTATATTAGGAAACTTTATTTTTCATTTCACAAGCAGACATTTAAAAATAGAAAGTAAAGTCAGGAGTGGAGGGTATCTGAAGATAATTTTCAGGAACCAATGACATGACCACAAGTAAAAGCTGTTAAGCAAGGAACTCTCTTGAACAACATGTACAAAAAGATACTCTAACAAATTCTCTTCAATACCTGTTTTAATGTGTCATGCCTCAATGCCATGACCTTCTGCGTAAACACCCCACGCTCAGTCGACTATTCATTTTTAAGTATTTGTTTCCCTTGATGTCCTTGATGCCAGCTGGCCTATTGTGATTTGAGAATAATGTGTTTCTTCTTAATTTCCCCCAAAAATAATGGTCGACGTGTTGCCAGCATAGAGGTAGAATGAGAGTAGAGCAGACATTCCTATATAAATCAACATAGCAGAAGGGTCAAAGTATGAAATATGACCATTGTTGCCGGCTAACTTCTGCATAAAGTTCTTCATAATCTGCTGAGCTGAGGTTTTGCTGTAACGACCACATTAGTGAAATATTAAAGCATGGAGATGACTCTTTTGTGCACCATCTCTGTTGCCTGAGAGGATAAATGTAGTGGTGCAGTAATGAGTCCTAAAACCTCCAAATAATTTGTACCACATCCGGTTGCCTTGTCTTGATGTTATGGGTCTTTTGAAAGCTCTGAGAGAAGCCCTCTCCAGTGTACTGAAATCCATTGGTTAATTCCCATAGATTTTTGTCAAGGGAGCCCCTGTGATGCAAAATTCAGGGTTGGCCTACAAAAATACATCATCCCTGCACCAATCCATTGATTATTGCTGTATTTTAATTGCTTCATATTTCTATTGGCAAAATCATTACATTATTTGTATTGAATTATATTTTAAGACAGCCATGACGTAGCTCAAAAACCAGTGATTTTGACACACTATACTTCACTCACTCACCACTGTTGCAATGTTCCTTTGAACTAGTGAAATGAGTGCAACATAGTTCAATGGCTATACTACTCTCATTCTATTTCTATGGTTTCCACAGTGATTGCAGAGAAATCCAAGGATACATGGTTTGCAACTCTGAATGTCATATATTTGCCCAGAAAAATATAAATCCACCAGTAAACTTCATTTTGTTGTGTTTTCTAAATTAATGGATCAATATTTTTATTTATTTTTTATTGATTGAGCCTACTAAATACCACTTACAACAAAGCAACTCATTTAGCACACAAAGTGAATATCAAGTAAGTTTAGGCTATTTATTCTAATTAGGACAAAAGAAAGCTTAACATGAACTTGTTTGTGTAGCGTGTATTGGTTAATAATGGGGTGCGATGCCAGCCACAATGAAAAGCAACCAACTCCGAATCCCACACCACCTTCTGAGTGACTCACAATGCAACAGCCAAACATCAACAAAGAGCAGGCTTCGCTTCATTCAATTGGTATTCTCTAATGAGCAGCACAACTATTTTACCAGGATTAATTAAGCACAAGATTGAATCAATTAATGCTTTTAAAAGATTGATCGGGAACTAACACTATCTGTTCAAGCAGAGCCAGCCTTTAATGAGAGAAGTTCCACAAATGCGAAACTCCAACAAACTTTAATGAGCCTTGCAAGAAAAGCACAAAATGTCTGTCGCTACCCTCTGGCTGTTATGTGTGGATTAAAATGAGTGTGGAAATTAAAGCGAGAGAGGCAATGTTTTTTTTTCTTCAGTTGTCAATGAGAATTTGCTCTACAGTCCTGACACTCAACAGATGTCACCTCATCTTTCACTCAAAGCCACCGTACCTCCTGCTCACATCCTATATGTACTATTTAACACCACTCATATTAGTTTTGAAGGTCTATCATCAAAATTAATACGCAAAGCGAGAGATTTAAAATAAATGGATTCCATTAGACCAGACATTACCATTACAGGAATGGCATCAGATTAGGGCTTTCTCTTGCAAAACTAACTATTAGATTGTTCTCTTTTCCTGTTCAGGCTCTAGTTGAGTATTACTGTAATTTCCACATCCAAGATTAAGATCAAAGCAGTGTTTTTTCCTGTGGTGGAGAGCAGAGGTACTTTATGGAAATGAGCCCGGCAGCCCTTGCACTGGCACAGCCATGCCAAACGAGCCCTTCCTGCTTAGCATCTCATTTACATTTAGTGGGGAAATCGACTAATTAATCATTTGGCTATTTACCATCTCATTACCGTGGAGTTTGTGCTCCCTGAGTTATGCCCCGCTCTCAAAAATATTCATATCTCACACTTGCTGGCGTGACTTTCTGTGCTACACCTTCCCGATGGATTTTGTAGAAGTTTTAGGTGTCTCATTTACCTTTCTGCCTTCGAGGATGCAGCGGAGGAATATCTGACAGCTACACTTGCAAGTATTAGATAGAAATATTTACTAAAACCTGTGTATGTGTGTGCTTACTCCACAGGGGAATTGAGTGGCTGAGTCTTACCAGCTTCCTATCTTTTGCTACTTCTGCACCAAACAACATGGGCATGGTGCGGAATGAACTGCAGCATGTTGACCTGCTTACTGGTAAGAGACACAAACACACACACACATTCTCACCTGTATCTGTTGGTAAGGCTACCAACCAACACTTTTATATCTTCCTTTGATAATGATCAGTCAATTAAATTGTTTGTAAATACCCCAATATTACAAATGACACATTTCTCTCAGGGGGCTTTACAGTGTGTACAACATACCTCTTCCCTCAGTCAACAAGGAAAAACTTCTCAATATAAACACAATTCATAAATAAAATGGAAAAAATACTTGGGGAGAGCCACAACAAAATGGGATCTCTCCCCCAAAATAGGCAGATGTGCAATATACATTGTGTATAGATTAAAACAAAAACACTATCAAAATCTTCCAAGTGCCTTAAAAAAAATAATAGTAAGGTGAGCGTCAGGCAGAACCAAGTAACCTTTGATACTGGCAGGGGAGAGACACAAAAACTCTGTTGGATCCTTCTGTTCTCATTCATAACACTCCGTTCGATGTCTCACTATGGGATGCGCCTCAACGCGTATGCACCAGAAGCATCAATCTCATTACGCCAATCCTGATTGGCTGGTGATCTTGACGCCAACGTCAGGGAATCCACCAACCCTATAAGTAGCTTGCGCCACGACGCAGGCGTCATTCAAACACCTCTTCTCGCTTCGGAGCACATCTCGAGAAAGATCAGTAGCTAGCTAGCTTAACGGTCCACAGACTGATTTACGAAGCTAACCTTCGGTCGACGGACGCTCGCCAGCTACTTTTGCTTCGCACGGGAATTCTCTTTATTAACACTCCAGTTAATATCAGAATCTACCCTGCCGTTTTTTTCCAACGGATAACGGTAAGGTTTTGGATTTTTTCCCACAAACGGTAACACGCCTGTTGCTCGTTTGTCCCTTCTACGCCGCACCAAGGCTAGCTAGGATGGACTCTTCCCTCCCTCACACCAGAGGAGACGGAGTGTCGGAGGCTCGGCTCTGCGGCTGCGGGCTAAAGATATCGAGTACTGACTCACACCAGGTCTGCTCGTCTTGCCTCGGGCTGCAACATGCCCAGGAGGCTAATCGACACCCCCGGCGCGTGTGGGGGGTGGCGCGGGGGGGGAGAAGGGCGGCGGAGCGCGGTCCGCCGACGGCTAGCACGGGCCAAGGTGCATGCCGGTCGAGACCTCCTCATGCCTGTTAAACTCCGGCGGCCGGCGGCGGGGCAGATCGTGCGCCCGCCACGGTGCGGGTCCGCGCATGTGTCAAGCTGGGCCGCGGTGGGCGGCGGCAGCCGCGGGGGAATGGCCCCGTGCTGGTGTGCAAGCTGGGGCTCCCAAGCTGGAGCCTCACCATGGTCTCACCCGGGAGGATGTCCTAGAGCTGGACTATGAGGAGGAGGAAGAAAGAATCCCCTCGGAGTTCTTCTTTCCGCTCAGGACGAGGGCGAAGCATGACTCTGTCGTTCGTCTGCCCAGGCTGCCAGCCTGGCGGCCATGTCCGCCTCGGCCGGCGACGGCGAGGCAGCCGCCCCGACCTTCAGCCATGGACCTGCAGGCCGATTGTGCCACACGCGTGCACTCCAGCTGGATTCCCCTGGCCTGAAGCGGCCAGAAGCCTCCGGTCTACGAACGAGGGAAAGAACCTGCCCAAGCCGCGAGCTGATCCAGGCAACTTCTCCCGCTCCCTCCGAAGCTTGCTGGAACGAGGGGTGCGGTCTCCTGGAGAGACGCCCCTTCCGCGGCAGCAAGGCCCCAAATCCAGGGAGCCTCCTCTCTGGACTTTGAGGACATGGAGAAGCTCGCTGTTACTCCGCATGCTCCTTTATGGAGCCGCTTGTGCGCCCACTCCAGAACCCGCGGGTTGTCGGCAGCCCCGAGCAGGAACCCCACACTGCGACATACGGCGGACCGGTTCGTCCGCAATGACCCTGAACGGCCGTACAAAGCGGGCTGCTTTCGTCCTCAAGGGCGCTGAATGTCTCCTCCTGCTAACGCGTACCAAGCGGAGCTGTGTGCGGACATGACGGTGGAACCTGAATCCGGCCGTGTGGAGGATGATCATGGCAGATCACAGGACATTTTGCCTCCACGTACAGCGCTGTGCAGTCCAGGCCACAGGCAAATCAGCTAGGGATGATTGTGTGCAGGAGAGAGCCAGGCTTGAACCGCAACCTCCCCGATCCGGGAAGGAGGACGTGTTGACATGCCAACTCGTCCCTTAGGGCATATTCGGCTCCGCTACTTGCCTCCATGCGAACAGCTCGGCTGTGAGGCCAAGGAGGAGGATGAAGCTCTCCAGCTTTGCCTCCCTCGGAAAGCCCAGCCGGCCTCCCCCAACGGTCCCTGCGACGGACCTTCTCCCCAGGCTACCCCGCACTCGGCCCTGTTCGAGTCCCGAGGCGGAGAGCCAAGCCCCGCCCCGTGGGTCTCCCCCGAGACACGTAGGCACGGACGAAACTGGCCAAGAAGTCCCCCGACGGTACCAGGCAGCGAGCCACACGGCAGCCGTTCCGCACCCGACTTCTCAGTCACCAGGCGGGAAGAAGAAGGAGGGCAGCTCTGAGCCTTCCCTCCCCCTCGGGGAAAGGGCTGTAGGTTTCCTGTTCTCTTTCAGCCCTGGATCGTGTTCCGCACGTGTCCGCACCCAGTGTTTCCACGGGACACCCGCTCCCGCTGCTTCCCGCCGCCGTCGGGTGATGGACT